AGTTTAATGACCCTTTGGTTTTCTTTTGCAGTACCTAAAAAGTGTTACTGTAAAAACATATACTGATATTAAAAAATGCTTGTAGTAAATTGAATTTGTAAACATTTAAAAAAAAGCTTATAGCTTTTATTCCTGATGATCCTGAATGAGGATGATTCTAATTAAGCACTTTGGATGTTCTGGAGGATCTGTTTTGATTTTATTGTATCAGATGATAGCCCATATCTGTAATTAAAAAAAACTTTAATTAATTAATGAAATTACTATAACTATACACAATACTATAGTATTGTATTATAAATATTATACTATTAGCATAGTATTATTATTTATTGCTTAGATTTTATTTATGTTGGGAGCAACAAACGTCCAAATTATAGAATCGTTGCTGTTTAACGCCCAAAATAATAAGAACAGCAAACGTCCATTTAATATAATATCGTTGCTGTTAAAAAATAATATAAAAGCAGCAAACGTCCAACTTATAATGTTGTTGCTGTTTATACTCAAAAATAATAAAAACAGCAAACGTCCAATTAATAATATCGTTTCCATAAATAATATAAAAGTAGCAAACGTCCAATTAATAATGTCGTTGCCAGAAATAATAAAACAGCAAACGACTAATTAATAATATTGTGTAATAAATCTGTACCTGATAATGTCCATCACCAATGAAGATCCTATTTGAGGACCTTGGATTTTCCAGAAGATCTGTTTTGATATCATTGTACCATTTTGATAAATTGTTGGCCCATATCTGTAATTAAAAGAGACTTAAATCAATTAACGGAATTACTATTTAAAATAGTAATAATTAATAGTAATAATTATAATTATTTATTGTTTAGATTGTATTTCAGTTGAGAACAGCAAACGTCCAATTTACAATATCGTTGCTGTTCATCGCCTAAAATACAGCAGTAAACGTGCAATTAATAATATCGTTGCCAAAAATATATAAAAGCAGCAAACGTCCAACTTATAATATCGTTGCTGTTCATTACCAGAAATAAAAGCAGCAAAAGTCCAATTTAAATATCGTTGCTGTTCATACTCAAAAATAATAAAAACAGCAAACGTCCAATTTATAATATCATTGCCAGATAATGCAATTTACAATATCGTTGCTGTTCATCGCCTAAAATACAGCAGTAAACGTGCAATTAATAATATCGTTGCCAAAAATATAATAAAAGCAGCAAACGTCCAACTTATAATATCGTTGCTGTTCATTACCAGAAATAAAAGCAGCAAAAGTCCAATTTATAATATCGTTGCTGTTCATACTCAAAATAATAAAAACAGCAAACGTCCAATTTATAATATAATTGCCAGATAAATAATAAAAACATTAAACAACAAATAATAATATTGTGAAATATATTTATACCTGATAATGTCCATCACTGATGATAAAACTAATGAGGACCTTGGATGTTTCAGAAGATCTATTTTGATATCATTGTATCTGATGATGGCCCATATCTGAAATTAAAAGAGACTTAAATTATTAATGGAATTACTATTTAAAATAGTAATAGTTAATTATTGTTTTGATTTTATTTTTGTTGAGAACAGCAAACGTCCAATTTATAATTTCATATGCTTGGTTCATACTCAAAAATAATAAAACAATTTATAATATCGTTAGTCCCAAAATAATATAAAAGCAGCCAAACGACCAATTTCATAATATCGTTGTCAAAAATAATATAAAATCAGCAAACGTCCAATTTAATAATATCGTTGCCAAAAATGATAAAAAGAAGCAAACGTCCAATTAATAATATCGTTGTCAAAAATAGAATAAAGCCGCAAAATCCAATATGTAATATTGTTGCCAAAAATGATAAAAACAGCATACGTCCAATTATAAAATATCGTTGCTGTTTATAATAAATAATAAAAACAGCAAACGTCGAATTAATAATATCGTTGCCAAAAATAATAAAAACAGCAAACGACCAATTAATAATATTGTGTAATAATCTGTACCTGATAATGTCCATCACCAATAAAAATCCTAATTGAAAACCTTGGATTTTCCAGAAGATCTGTGTTGATGTCATTGTACCATTTTGATGAATATGGCCCATATCTGTAATTACAAGAGACTTAAATTAATTAAGAGAAAAACTATTAGCATGATAAAAATTAATTATTGTTTAGATTTTATTTCAATTAAAAGCAGCAAACGTTCAATATATAATATCGTTGCTGTTCATAATCAAAATTAATAAAAGCAGCAAACGTCCAATTTATGATATCGTTACTGTCCAACGCCCAAAATAATAAAAACATCAGCAAACGTCCAATATATAATATCGTTGCCAAAATAATAAAAACAGCAAACGTCCAATTTATGTATCGTTGCTGTTCATCACCAGAAACAATCAAAAGAACAAAGATAGCAAACGTCCAATTCATAATACCGTTGCCAAAAATAATAAAAGTAGCAAACGTCTTATGCTTATTTATCTATAGTAGCTAACGTCCCATTCATAATATCGTTGCCAAAATGATAAAAGCAGCAAACGTCCAATTAATATATATCGTTGCCAAAAATATAATAAAGGCAGCAAACAAGCAATTAATAATATTTGTGTAATAAATCTGTACCTGATAATGTCCATCACCAATGAAGATCCTAATTGAGGACAGAGGATGTTCCAGAAGATCTGTTTTGGTGTCATTGTACCATTTTGATGAATTATTGGCCCATATCTGTAATTAAAAGAGACTTAAATTAATTAATAGAAAAACTATTTAGCATCGCATTTAGCATTTAGCAATTATTGTTTAGATTTTATTTCAAATAAAAGTAGCAAACGTCCAAGTTATAATGTCGTTGCTGTTCATACTCAAGAGTAATAAAAGCAGCAAACGTCCAATTTATAATATCGTTGCCAAAAATATAATAAAAACAGCAAACGTTCAATTTATATATTGTGTTGCTACTGTTTAATGACCAAAATAATACAAAACGTCTAATTTATAATATCGTTGCCAAAAATGATAAAAGCAGCAAACGTCCAATTTTTAATATCGTTGCCAAAATAATAAAGTAGCAAATGTCCAATTTAAAATATTGTTGCCAAAAATAATATAAAAACAGCAAATGTTCTATCAATAATATTAATATATTAGTAACATTGTACCTGATGGAGATCTTGATCAAGAATGAATGATGAAGATGAGGATCTTGGATGTTCCAGATGATCTATTCTGATGTCATTGTAACTGATGATGGCCTATATCTGTAATTAAAAGAGACTTCAATTAATTAATAGAAAAACTATTTAGCATAGTAAAAATTATAATTATTGTTTAGATTTTATTTTAATTAAAAGCAGCAAACGTCCAATATATAATATCGTTGCTGTCATAGATAAAAGAAGAGTATATAATATAGTTGCTGTTCATACTCAAAATTAATAATAGCAGCAAACGTCCAATTTATGATATCGTTGCTGTCCAACGCCCAAAATAATAAAAACATCAGCAAACGTCCAATTTATAATATCGTTGCCAAAAATAATAAAAGTAGCAAGTTTATTTTAGTTGAAGACGGCAAGCGTTCAATTTATAATATCGTTGCTGTTCATTGTCAAAAGAATAATAATAATAAAAGCAGCAACATTATGATATCGTTGCCAAAAATAATAATAACAGCAAACGTCCAATTTATAATATCGTTGCCAAAAATAAAAAAAACAGCAAACGTCTCATTAATAATATCGTTGCTATTTATCGCCAACAAATAATAAAATGAGCAAAAGTCCATTTTATATTATTGTTGCCAAAAACGATAAAAACAGCAGTATATTATTATTATTGCAGATACGATTGTAATGTTAAAATTGCAATTGAAAATTTCGTTAGTTGACAGTTTGGCCGCCATTTTGTTTTGGTACAAGACAGAAAAACCTAATGTTATTTTTTTTGCAAAAAAACTGTACAGACCCATTTTTTAGTGCTATTAGATACAAGATATCAAACTTTATCAAATTTTTATTAATAAAACGTCGTTGAAACACTTTATTGTTAAAAACAGAAGAAAACCATTTGTTGTGGTATGGCCGCCATCTTGGATTTTCCAAAAACACAAATTTTAAATTGCGAAAAAAATGCAAAAATCTCAATAAATAATGGGAAAAAGTGCAATAATATTAAATAAACATACACATATTTATCGTAAATCAACAAATACAGCACGCATACGACGTTTTAAAACACGCCAAAATCGTTTGCATCAGAACCTGACGCAGTCACTTATCCTGTTAATAAAACGCAATAATTGCGCAAAATTATATGAAAAAAGAAGTACTCACCATTTTAAATGCACGATGCACACCGGAACACACTTTTTAGACACTGATTTGTTTTAAAATAAATAATATTTACTTATTTGTTGCACTGCACTGCGCGGAGATGTTAACAGTTCGGAGGGTGACACGCTAATGAGCTGCGAGCTGATTAACAGCTAAATTAATAGCTGTCACGCAAATTCAAAATGGCGGATGGTGAGAAAAACATACCTCGGCTCGAAATTTCGATTTAAAACATACTATGCTAAACCAAGTTAAAACACAACACCGCACACTAATTATGCACTTTTGCTTCAGTAATTCAACTTCATAACATAGGATTAGGGATTACGCACCAACAAACAATTTCAAATAAAATCATTGAAACCACACTAAAAATAAAGTTTATCACCATTAATTAACACATTTCTTTCGCTAATTTGAATAAAACCTGGACATTATTTAGCAAACTGCAATGGTGCAATTTTAATAATTATAATTGAGAAGTTTTCAAATCTATTTGTTGAAGTTATGTTTACTTATCTATGAAATGAAGTACACAAAAATTGGTGTAGTGTCACCAACATAAAAAGTAATTTAATTTGTTGCACAATATATATTTAAATAAATGAAATACACATTATATATTAATCATAGATAAAAGAAGAGTATATTAATTATAATTCAAATAAGTATTGCTTAAGCACTCTAAAAATAGTATTATAATATTATATTATATATTTTACATTTTTGTGTAATTTTTTTCTCTCGTATGTCAAAACCAGCACCAACGTTCATTTTGTAAATGCAACAAGTACTTATTATTTAAATTTAAACCTTAGTTTGATTATTTGTGTTTATTGAGAACAAAAATATAAAAACTTGATGCATTAATATAAAGGGTATGTTAATAATTTCTTAGTTCAATAATATTTAGTATACAGTAAGTTTTCTATTTACAACAAGCATATATGCACAATAAGATGTTCTATTTTTGCACATTATCTAATTATAAAATCAACTATATTGAATTTCACCATGAAATTACGCTTATTTAGGTTTAAATGAAGATATTACACACAATCTGTTTACACAGAACAACATAACCATGTTATGACTATAACATTTGCACAAGTACAAAAGCGAGGCAATATATGAAGGATATTTGTATTTACTGATTTAACTGGTAAAAACATAATACATTAATACTATAGGTATGTTAATAATTACTAAATTTATTCATAAAGTTATTAGTATAGGTACCACAATAGATTTTCATCTGCCTTATAAACTTCTCTATCTTCACACGATTATTAATTATAAGAACAACTATATTGAATTTATAATGAAATTAAGTTTATTAAGGTTTAAATGAAGATATTACACACAATCTGTGTACTCGGAACCAAATAACCATGGATACAATTCATAGAAAGACAAAAATGAGCTATTCGTAAAGGATATTTGTACTCGCAGGTATATAAGCCACAATTTGAAGATAAATTACATGAGTTTATTAAGATTATATCATTGAATCAAGAGGAATATAAAAACCTAATACATTAATACAATTGGTATGTTAACAATTATTTAATTCATTCATTAGATTTATATAACAAAACTTATTCATTAGATTTATATATATCTAACAAGCTCCTCTATATTTGCACGATTCACAAATATAACTACAACTATATTGAATTTGTAATGAAATTTAATTTATTTCGGTTTAAATAAAGATATTACACACTAATTTGTTTACTCAGAACAACATAACCATGGATACAATTCATAGAAAGACAAAAATGAGTTATTTATAAAGAATATTTGTACTCACAGATATATCCACAATTTGAAGATAATTTATACAATGAAATTCAGTTTATTTAGGTTTAAATGAAAATATTACACTCAATCTGTGTACTCAGAACCAAATAACCATGGATACAATTAATAGAAAGTCAAAAATGAGTTATTTATGAAGGATATTTGTACTCACAGGTATATTATCCATAATTTGAAGATAATTTACATGTGTTTATTAAAATTTCATCATTGAATCAAGAGTAATATAAAACCTAATACATTAATACAAAGGGTATATTAACAATTACTTAATTCATTCAGAAACTTATTCATTAGTTTAATATAAGTGTAACAAGCTCTTCTGTCTTTGCACGATTAACAAATATAACTACAACTCTATTGAATATATAATGAAATTAAGATTATTTAGGTTTAAATGAAGATATTGTACAGAATCTGTAAATTCAGAACCACATAACCATGGATACAATTCATAGAAAGACAAAAATGAGTTATTTATAAAGGATATTTGTACTCGCAGGTATATAATCCACAATTTGAAGATAATTTACACGAGTTTATTATGATTTTATCATTGATAATACATTATAATACATTAATACAATGGGTATGTTAACTTAATTACTTAATTCATTCAAAAACTTATTCATTAGTTTTTTATATGTCCTAAAAGTTTCTCTATCTTTGCACGATTAACAAATATAACTACAACTATATTAAATTTTGTAAAGAAATTTAGTTTAGTTAGGCTTAAATGAAGATATTACACACCATCTGTGTACTCAGAACCAAATAACCATGAATACAATTCGTAGAAAGACAAAAATGAGTTATTTATAAAGGGTATCTGTATTCGTTGATATAAAATCCACCACGTGATGATCACGTACATCCTCGAATCAAGAGAAATTTGCAATCCTAATACTTAAATACGATCAGTACGTTAATAATTACCTAATTCATTTTAACTATTGTTAATATATAAATAAATATTTAAATAAAATAATTAGAAAAATTACTGCATCAGCAATCAAACAATGTGTTTTTTATGAAAAGAATTTATTATAATAATTAATATGTATAATAAATATTAACTTGTTAAACAAATCTTATATCTAAGGGTTAACAAATACGTGAAGTGTCTTTTAAACATATGATATGGCAACATGAAATTGAACAAATAATATCACATGCAGGTTTAAAACATGGCAAAACATCATCTAAATATTATTTAACAATTTAAATCATTTTTGGCAGATCTCTTAGATTCTGAAAAGAAAAAAAATACAAATAACAATAATATTAATACTTATCATATAATACAAAGAATGTTTTTTACCAGGACACCAAGTCAGATAGTCAAGCTTTGTTGCAGCTTGATATTCTTCCACTAATTCCTGGACAACTTGCCGAGAGTCATCCAATTCTTCAAAAGTATCGTTGAACATTGTCATACCCATGCGCCTGAACTGATCTATAAAAGCTTCTCGTTTCCTTAACTTATCAAACTGACTTATGGCACGGTCAAACAACTAAAAGATAAATAAAATTAGTTTGAATAATCAGATTTTTATATATTTTACTTACAGAGCAAATACTGGTGTGGTTAGCTAACATCAAACCGCTAACTCTATGTGCTGTCTGGACATATGGAGAAGACTTTGACAAGGCTACTTGGATACTAGAAGGGCCCCAAGGTATCCAGTTTATTAATTTACGTTCTCGGATTCGTTGAAGGCTTTTGTGCACTTGTGTAGGGTCTACCTCACCCTAAAAATAGAATAAAGTCAAGAAAATGAATAAAAAAAATTATATATGTACAATTACATTATTATTATATAATTAAAAATATTTTTATTTTAAAAAGTTTTTTAACGGTGGTCAATTATAAATATAACTATAGTTTGGCTTCTATAGAAATCAAACCATATAGAATACTTATCGGAATTTATTAAATAATAGTAATTAAAATTATTAGAAGTTATATAAACACTACTTTGTCTTCGTTTTTCATTTTAATAACAACTGTATAAAAAAACTTATACTCTGTATAAACAAATCTTATATTCTTTAAACACAACTTTGTCTTCCTTTTTAGTTTTAATAATCATTTAGTTTTAATAATCGAATAGAATTTATCAAATCTTTTGAATTTTAATACTTACTTTTTAATTTTAATAAAAAGTATAATTATGTATCAATATATGTTCAATTATTACCTGTATAATATTTAAAATGCTAATATAGCATTGTGATGATAGCCTATCGGGGCTTGTAGAAACCATCATGTTTTTAGGCTGTAGCAATCTTCTCATAACATCCAGCACTGTAGTTTTTCTAACATTTACAGTCTAACAAAAAAAAGAAACAATATTATTATAAACCATTTGTAACTACAAACATGTTAATATTTGTAGCAATGCATAGGAAAAACCATTAACAAAGTTTTATAGCTTAGATTTGTAATCATTACAAATTACAAATTATATTCTTATATATATAATTAATTATTTTACTCACATCATTTTCTGTAGACAATGGTGTGTATCCGGTCATTAAGAAATGTAACCGTGGTGTTGGAATCAGGGGCGCAATTAGTCCAATCAGATCATTATTCATGTAGGAAGGATATCTATAAAATAAATATAATATAATGGAGGGATTTTGTTTTTATTTGTACTTACTAAAAATTTTATGCAGCGTTTAATTACTTCTGAGTTAAAAGTGAGGGCTATGAAAATCAAATTAAAGAAATGAAAATGAGTTAAACAATTATGTAACAATAATAAATAAAAATAGTAATAATAATAATAAATAAATAAAAAAAATAATACAAAAATAATTAAAATCTTAAAACAAAACAATTACTATAACTTACCCTACGGAAAGTTAATACATAAAAGAATTAATAATAATAATAATTTATTTATTTATTTATTTACTTGATAATAATAATAATGATAATAAAGATTATAATACAAAAATAATGGATTTCTAAAACAGACCAAAATTTAGTTTTTTTGAAATAATTTATAAAATTAATTTATAAATAAATTAAATAAATGTATAATAATAATTAATAAAACTAATAAATAAAAATATTAATAATGGCAACGATAATAATAAAAATAATGAATAACTAAAATAATAAAATATGTTTCATGTCTAAATTTGCAAAATTCTAGTATATTTCTTTGTTTTTTAATTTCTTGCTCTAAAATTTATACTTTACCTTAGAGTGGTTGTAGAGACTGACATAATTGTAGAGACTAGAGTATTAATTTGAGTAAACGTAGGATTTTGTATATGCAATCGATCAGTAGCAATTCGATTCAAAGCAGTGTTGTCCAGCACAACGACACAATCAGCAGAAGATGTGAGACGCTTCAAAGTCAACATGGAATTGTAGGGCTGAACAACCACATCACTAAAATGGTAACAGACAAAGATATAATAAAGAAAAGTTAAACGTTAACATATCATAATATTAACCTCATTTCTTCTTGGTTAGGAAAGACACTGTAAGTCTGCACAAGTTTTTTTGGAAATCTGTCTGATAATCTTTCAAGAATATAGGAACCCATTCCGGAACCTGTGCCACCAGCAATGGAGTGACATAAAACGAAACCCTGAAAAAATAGTGTATAAAGTATTTATTAATCCAGAATATTTATAATTATCTTTTGGATACAAATATTAGCTATAAAAATGGAAAAAGTAGGTATTTTTTAAGTAAAACTTCTTTAGGCGCGACTAGAGTGTAAATACGTATAAATACAACGGAAGTGCGTTACGGCAGATAAGAGTAGATAAGAGTCGAGTGCCAATGATTCGTCATTCGCTCTCGATGATATCATTTCTATACGGGTCGATTGTGATTAGTCGTCGTACATATGAATAGATCTGTCGTTGTATGCGTAACGGCATCAACGTTGTGTGCGTACCGATACCAACAAGGAAATCGGCATAGATAAATAAACATTTTTAAGTTACATCGTAGTACAAATCTTGATTTAATGAAAAATGCCTGAATTAGAATGATATTTTAACCTGTTCCTTGAAAATAATAAAACAAATTAAACATTTGTGCCGTGAACTAAACGTAAGTTTATTGATTATAAATTATTTCTATATTATTCATAGTTTCTATAAATCTTTGAAGTTATTAAAATGGAAAAATTTTTTAGGCAAGACAGATATTACAGCTGTTCAAAGAATGAGATTACATTGCCAGTGAAAAAGTAAAAAAAATACAAGCAGTCAACGAATGTTTGTTAATTTTAATTACATGAAGTTCTTCAAACACAATTAGATGACGAGTAAAGTTGCGAAAACAAAATTTGTTTAAGCGTTGTTTAACATAATCCACTGTGTGAATGAATGTTATAGAAGTTATTAATCAGCAATTACTTCATTTCTCTAAAGAAGGTTAATTTCTAAATGCTAATTACAATGACAAACCGATCATGTCATATTTGAAGTATGTCTTTAATTACATTATTGTTTTTAAATATTATACATATTTTTAATGCTATTATAAATATATAATTTATAATTTATCATTATATAAATGTGTATAATGGTTGATTCTAATAAATGTGTGCATCACGAGTGTTACCATATTACTAATGAACATTATTCAAAATTGTTATATGATGTATTTATTTTTACTTAAATATCATCTTGTACAGTAGCAAATAAGTTTTACTTCAATCGCGTGTGAACCTTACGCGCACTCTTTTTGTTTGTTTGTTGGATTCTCATTAAAAATATTGTGTGATCTTTTAAATATCGCTATCAATTTAAATTGTTATTATATAATCTTGTTCCTAATAATCCACTAAGTATTAACCCTTCCCACTCGGATGCCGCCTTCCCATTCGGCATCATATTAATAAAATTCATATAAATTTCAAAATTCGCGAGTAGAAAGGGTTAAAATCAATATATATACACTATTAAACAAATATTGTTAAAAATATTTTTTTATTATCATTTATTACCTCAAGGCTATCACTCCCATCAGCTTCTCGATCAATAATATCAAACACTTCTTCCTGCAATTTATCACCTTGTTGGTAACCAGAAGCCCAATTATTACCAGCTCCACCTCCATCTTTGGACAAAAATATATTTTCAGGATTGTACAGCTTAGCATAATCTGAATTCATTATGGAATGGATGACACGGGGCTCCAAATCCAGCAGCACTGCTCTGGGGATGTAATGGTCATCATCGGCCTGGGATAAAAGAAATATGATAAATGATAATTTTTATTTTATAATAATCATCATCGGCCAGGGATAAAGATATTTATGTATAAAAATTTATGATAAACACAATAATACATATATTTTACATCAGCCTAGGATAAAAAAAATATGATAAATGAATTTATATTTTATAATAATCATCTTTGGCCTTGGATAAAGATATATGTATATAAATAAATGTTAAACATAATAATTTATATTTTTAAATAAACCTAATAATCATCTTCGGCCTGGGATAAAGATATATGTATATAAATAAATAATAAACATAATGATTTATATTTTTAAACAAACCTGGTAAAAGTATACATCTTTTCTGTCAACTCCATCTGTGGCAAAACTTTCTAGAACGCCTGAAGGAGATATGCCGTGTTCTAAACATAATCGTTTCCAGAACTCAAAACCAACTGAAATAATAAAGTATTTATTAATAAAATGAATCTAGTTAAATTAGTATAGAATAGAACTTTATTAAAGCTCAATAAGATCATAATTGAAGGTGTATAAATAATAAGAAAAACTATAAACAAAAAATTATAGTTTGGATTTGTAATTGAGAAGTTGTAACTTTTACAAAAGTTTTGTAATAAGATCACTTATGGCACAAATATTTATAATAAATTATAATATTAGAAGACCATAATTGAAATTGTATTAATCTTAGGAAAAACTATTAATAAAGGATCATAGCTTAGATTCGTAATGATTATAAATCTAAGCTATGATCCTTTACAGGATTACAAATCTAACCTATGATAGTTTGTTATTGTTTTTTCTATGGTTGATACACTTTTAATTATGGTCTTATTATAATAATAAATTATATTATTAGAAACCATAATTGAAATTGTATTAAACATAGGAAGAACCATTAACAAAGGATCATAGCTTAGATTTGTAATCGAGAATTTGTAACTTTTACAAATGTTTTGTAATAATTCTTTTAATCTATGATTAATACAATTTCAATTATGGTCTAATAATACAATCTATTATAAATACTTGTACCATAAGTAAAATTGTATTAATCTTAAGAAAAACCATCAACAAAGAATCATAGCTTAAATTTGTAATCGAGAAGTTGTAACTTTTACAAAAATTTTGTAATACTTATGGCACTTAAGTGGTTATTGTTATAAACTTGTGGGAAATAGTAAATACATTATTATGAAAGATATATTAATCTGAATGGCACAAAATTTGTCAAAATTTGTAATGATCACAAATCTAAGCAATGATCCTTTTTTAATGTTTTTTCTATGATTAATACAATTTGAATTATGGTCTTATAATTATAATTAATTATTTTATTAGAAAACCATAATTGAAATTGTATTAATCCTGGAAAAAACATTAACAAAAGATCATAGCTTAGATTTGTAATCGAGAAGTTGTAACTTTTACAAAAGTTTTGTTACTATTTCACTTATGACACGAATATTTATAATAAATTATATTATTAGAGAAGACCATAATAGAAATTGAATCATTCATAGGAAAAACTATTAATAAAGGACCATAGCTTAAATTTGTAATCGAGAAGTGGTAACTCTTACAAAAATTTTGTAATACTCTTGGGACTTAAGTAGTTATTGTTATAAACTTGTGGGAAAAGTAAATACATACATTATAAAAAATATATCAATATGACTGGCACAAAAAATGTCAAAAACTTTATGATAAATAGGTGAAATTATAATAAAGTCCTGTCAACGGTTGTTTTAGTATTACCATTGTTTATTAGTAAACAAATTGATTGATTTATTGTTTATTAGTAAACAAATGGTGAATTGACAGAATTTGGTTATGTTTTCCAAAAATCTATGAACAAGCTTTAAACTACATAATATACATAATTTTACATAGAATTTCATAAATAAATCACATAATTCTCAAAACAACCTCAAAACATTCAAGTATTTATCATTTATCACATTTATCATAAATCAATTAACATCTGACATCTGATACAAAATCACACAAATGCACAAAAATATATAATTATTTGTAAAATATAATTTATACTTTGGTTTCCGCACTGCCCCAACTGCAAAGTTATCATTTCACTCGGCATCTTGCTTTATTTATTTATATTTTATTAATAATTAAAGATAACTTATGCAAAAACAACGACCGTTCATGTTGTTTTGACAGCTTGTATTTCTTGAGCAGGTTAACCAACCGTACAAAGATTTCTGAACAATATTTGATTTATTTTTGAATTTACTTTATTTAGTAATTTAAATTAATTTAGAATCTAACATGTTAACTAAATAATAATAAAAACAAATAAACAATCACATTTTGATGATAATGAAATTGAAGTATAAAAATTTGTTGGAGCAAAAATTTTGTGCAGCCAACATAAAATGTACAGCTGAAGTTATCGTTGAAATTCAAATTTAAAATATAGAATAAAATGTAATTTAAAAAAAGTAGTTTAAAATGTTATCTTTCTTAAGATAAACTTCCCAATATCTCTTATTATGATCTTATATCTTATGATCATATGCATTTGAACTTAGAACATACACGTTGCATGTTGGAAGCACAATTCCAATTATTCCAATTATTAACACATTTTTATAACTACATGTAGTCCAAATTTAAATGTATTTCTTAGGCCTATGATATTTGTTAAGACTATGAGCTCTATCTCTATTCAAGGTTCGTTAAAATAGTCAAAACAAATCGTTTAAATATTGTTTATTTGTTTAAATGAGTTGTTTTAGAGGAGTAAATACACTTTAAGACTCTAGGGTGTATAAACAAAGATTTATTAAATATAGATTACACCATAAACTCTTCTTTTATCTATGGATTGCACTTTATAAAATCAGAAATGCATAAGATAGAGTCCAGAGATTAAAGAAGCATAAGAAGAGTGAAAAGAAGAAAACAACAGTTTTTTCATCTTGCTTCGGGTATCTATGTGTCTCTAGGTGGAGAGTAATTAGAGTGAGAAGCAGAAAAGAAGAATCTCTTAATATTTCTTCGAGCGTCTTTGTGTCTCTATGAGACTCTTTATCTAGGATAGATAGATGGTACAAAGAGTGAGAAGTAGGAAAGAAGAGTCTCTCAAATCTTTCTTCAGGCATCTTTGTGTCTCTATGATACTCTTTATCTAGGATAGATAGATGGTAAAAAAAGTGAGAAGTAGGAAAGAAGACTCTTAATCTTTCTTCAGCATCTTTGTGTTTCTATTATACTCTTCGTCTATGATAGAGTCCATAGATAAAAGAAGAGTAAGAGGAGTAAAAAGTAGAGAACAAAAGTTTCTTAATCTTTCTTCGGGCATCCATGTGTCTCTATGAAACTCTTCGTCCAAGATAGAGTCCATATTTAGAAGAAAAGTAATAGGTGTAGGAAGTAGAAAACAAAAGTTTCTTTATCTTTCTTTGGTGTCTTCTTGTCTTTATGATACTCTTCGGCTAGAATAGAGTCTATAGATTAAAGAAGAGTATGAAGCAGAAGACAAGAGTTTCTTCATCTTCTTCAGGTAGCTTTGTGCCTCTTTGATACTGTTCATCTAGAATAGATACCATAGATAAAAGAAGAATAGGAGATGTAAAAAGTGGAGAACAAGACTTTCTTACTCTTTCTTCAGATATCTTCTTGCTTCTATGATACTCTTTGCCTAGGATAGAGTCCATATTTCAAAGAAGAGTAAGAGGAGTAAGAAGTAAAAAACAAGAGTTATCTTTCTTCGGGTATCTACTTATCTTTATTATCTCTTTGTCCAGGATAGAGTTCATATTTAAAAGAATAGTAAAAGGAGTAGGAAGTAGAAAATAATAGATTCTTTATCCTTCTTCGGGTATCTTCTTATCTCTATAATACATTTCGTCCAGGATAGAGTCCATATTTAAAAGAAGAATAAGAGAAGTAGGTAACAAGAGTTTCTTCATCTTCTTTGGCCATCTGCGTGTCTATGATACTCCTTGTCCAGGAATATAGAGTCCTAAATGCCCTAGTGATGATAATTACAAAGAACCCCCATAATGCAACACACAATGGAAAATACATATTGCAAATGAGTCCGAATGTTAATTTGTGTTTATTTCATTAAAATCTTTCCTATTTACTTACCAGAGTCTCTACAAAATGCATTTTTATTTCCTTTCTGTAAAATTATATATCAATTCTTGCTCACGTTTCATGAACCAAAAATATCCATTATCTAGTGACTTATTTTATTTATATAGTTTAAATATAATAGATTTTTACTTTAGGTAGTTAATAATTGCAAAGTGTTTCTACTAAATCACTAATATTTGTATTCAAAAAAAATTACACAAAATACATACATTTATATTGTTCCACAATTAGTTAAAGCATTTCTATTTTGTCTAAGGACACATTTCATTTCCAACACTAATATATACACAGTTATTAATAAAAATAATGTTTCTTTATAATAATTAACCTCTTGTATCAATTTCCATCTTGCAGTTTCAGTGCTGTGACACACTTTGATATATATGGCATCGTATTAGCCTTCGATTGCACCCCCATTCTAAACAACGTTTGCAAAATCAGCAAACTATGTTCTTGTAAACAAATTATATAATCCTGAATCCTTTCCAAGCTGCTGGTTCTAATATCAGGATCACTAGACTTCAAACTTGTCATTAAAGATGTGAAGCATATATTTGTGCAGGGTAAACTCTGCGGTGAATATTTTAGATGTCTCAACAACAAGGTGTGGCTTAAGTTACGTACATTTTGGCTTGTAGAATTTATTAATGCACAAATAGGCTCTATTATTTTGATTAACAATTCAGGTTTTTTGTTTGTTATGTGATCTAGTTCCTGTAAAGCTGCTATGACTTCATCAACTTGCACTTTTGATAAAGAGTTTGCTAAAGTGTTGAATTGTATTGGGCAAGGTTCTGCTTGTACAGGTAGAATGTTCATGGTGACCATTCCCATCTCCAAACACATTTCTTCGATGTTGTTTTTATGTGCTTTGTGCTGGTGTAAAAGGCTGACACCGTTTGCAATGTTCTTTAAATTTTGTAAGTGTGGTAATGTTATGTGTAAATCTTGTAGAGTACTGGAATGTGTTTTTATATAACCCAAAGCACGTTTTGGACAATAGTTTATATAATTTTGTAACAAATTAAAGAATCTAACAGCTAAGTTTGTTAAATCTTTGATAAAACTTATGTGTCTTCTAAACAAGTTGATGTACAATGAAATTATGATTTCTAAATCTTTTTGATGCTCTTTTCTAAACAACATTGGTGTCAACAACTCCAAAATACCTATAATATGATTAAACAAAGCTAAATGATACCTGCTTCTAAATTGTGCAAACTCCAAATGTATCCTGCCTTGCAACGAGCTAGCAATCATCGACAGGTGTCTCAAAACAATATTTGGATGCACTGCTGATACTTTTCTGGCCAGCATATCTAAGTCCTGAGACTTTCGATGCCAATCTTTGAGTAAAGGGGTTGATGATAAAGCTGTGAATATAGATTGGCACATTGTATCAATTTTACAACTCGTTACAGAATGTTTAACATCAGTATTGTTCACCACAAAGTTTAAACCAGGTTGGTACAAAACTATAACAGGCATTATCATGTACAATTGGATCAAAAATTGTGCAACAACTCTGCGTCTTTCAATTTCTATGTCTTTACGGACCAGCTGCATATACAAATACTGCACAATAACTTTGACAATATGCTGATCGTTCCGCATGCAATGCAAAAGCAAAGGCAACCTCAAATCAATTCTTTTGATCACATCATCTTTGGTGCCTGTTTTGTAAAAACACAAAGCTTCTAGCAAAGCGTAATCCAAGACTGTCAAAATTTTGTGTATTGACAATTCCAAAACATCTTCTGTAGGATTACGTTTGGAAATAACTTTGTCACGGCCTTGCCAAAGTTTTGGATTAGATATTAAAGTCATTAGGAAGTCTAAAACTGCTGAAGAGTCGTAATCTAAATAAGTTTTTGATAATAGGAAATTTACGCAATGTGCTAACGTGGACCAATTGGCCTGGTGCGTTAATAAAGTAAGTAAATACGGTCTGAAGCCCTTTTTATCAGCTTTGCTGCTAAACAACAAGTCCATTTGCACTTTGGAATTGGAATTAACCATGTTAGGTTCGATTGCAGCAACCCAATCGATCAACATGCCGTTCTTTTGACTGCGTTCAATCTGCGTTTTGAAGTCACTTTGGGAATCCAAGTCACTATCATCTTCTAACAACCAGGAACAAATACAATCAACAATTTGTGAATCTTGTACATCATTGTTAGCCTTATTTAAAACTAAATCTTTTATATAAGACTCCAAATTTTCGATAGGGGTTGTTTTTAAATTTGTTATTGTGTTGATACCACTTTTCGGCGCATCATTTTGCAAAATGGTGTTTCTTAACAACCGGTACAACACTTCGCTGGTGTCAAACATGACGTTCGTTTTAATAATCGCTTTATGAAAAATACAAAATAGCAAGTCTTTAACAAACTCCGAGCTGTTGGATAGTAATAAATGAAACAACGATAACAACAACGGCGATTTCACAACGAACAAACTCAGCAACCTGTCATCATCCAAGTCTTTTATAAATTTCAAAACCTGAAACAAAACAGAATTGGCCCTCAAAGTCTTTTCCTTCTGTTCCACGGCTATTTTCCTCAAAATCCAACTGGTGTATTCTGTAGAACTATTCGGTTGTTCAAACAGCATCTCGTTAAGAACAGAACGTAAAGATCTTTGTTGCATTTTTGGTTTGCAGAAGACAGGATTTTTGTGAATATAAGATGTAATGTCGATGTCTTGAAGACGTTTTAATAAAATTATGGGATACTTCTCTTCTTTGATGTTGCAGACTCGGAGGAAAACTTTGCCATCAGCTACTCCTCTCATGTGTTGGACAGCTATGCACATGCCGATGAAGGGCTTACCATTTTCCATAATCTGGAAAGGAATAATATCATAAACTAGCTGTAAGTGGAATTCTGTCTTAAGGCAATTAAGTGCCTTAAGGCAAATTGCTGGAACTTCCCGCACCAAAAATTATTATTTTTTTAAAAACGATTGACATTTTTAGAAAAAATTTACTTCGAAAAAATAAGATAATTGAGAAACTATAAATTAAATAATAATGTTTTCTTTATTTTGGGATATTTTGGAAGATCTGAACTTTTTTTCAAAGCAATCGTACTGCTTTAACTGCATAGAGACAAAATGTCAAAGCGCGTAAGCGCCGCGTCGCCGTCTAACGAATAAACATTGGTACGGAACCCATAGGAATGCAAACAAAATTCATACTTATTGTTAAAATCTCTATAAAATATCTGATAATTTTATGTGCATATGTCTAATGATCATTTTTGACCGCCAAATGGCATTTTTTTTACTTTTTTCATTAGATCTCCGAAACCGCTAGACCTGCCCTCATGAAAATTTGATCAATTCTTCATCTTGTCAATACAAGTCAAATGTTTTTTGAATTATTAAAATCGGACACTCCGTTTTCTTAAAAACTGAGTTACCGTTTTCGGCACTTTTTGCCCCGTATCTTTGGAACCGCTGGACCTGCCTTCGCCAAAAACTAATCAGCACGTCTCCTTATCAATACGAATCGTATGCTTTTTGAATTATTCAAATCGGTTGATCCGTGTTCCCGAAATCGTCGACGAAAATTTGTATCCGCACATACATACACACACGTACATACATACACACACACACACACACATACATCCATTTTTTCTAAGGTATGCTAAAATGTTCAGAAACCTCTGAAACGTAAAGATATATAAAAAATTTTATTTTCGATTTTTTTGCGATTACTATAACTTGCCCTACGGGAAGTTAAAAATAAATATAAAGTCTAGTTGTAAGTGGCATTTTGCCTTAAGGCGAGTTGCATAAACTTCCATACATAATCATAATCAACTTAATCAATAAGAATTGAGATTCAGCTATTTAAGTAAAATGAAAAAATGAGAGCTGAAACTTGGTTTTTCTGCTAATTACAAAGAAACGGCTCGGCAGATAGTCGCACAAAACTGGTAAACGCTAGTCTTCATAGGAGTTACATCGAATTTTTGAAATCGGTTCAGCCGTTTCTGAGAAACAGCCCGGCCAATCTTCAACAAATACTTATTAGCACGATTCTCAACTGATATCTTTCGTTTAAATTTTTAAAATCGGTGAAGAATTTTCGCGAGAAATGTTGCATTTATCTGCTAATTATAACGAAACGTCTTTGCTAATCATGGCGCCAAACAAATCAACGAGCGTCCTGGCTAAATTTTATCAAATTTTATGAAATCGGTGCAAACCGCGTACAAATTGATCAAATTTCATCACACACATTTATCAATTTCGGAATTACTGGAAACATTGACAAAATATAAAAATAGACATCGAATTTTCTGATAAAAAAGGGCAGTTAATAAAAAAAACTTGGTCTTCAATTAAAAAAAACTCCTCTCCTACCTGTCCAGCACAAGCTGCCTGTTCGCTAGCAGCCCAATTATCAAGCACCTTCAAACATTTGCCCATGGACTGCAACGAGTAACCAAATGATTGCATAAACATCAACAGCTGAACTGGTCTGATAGATCTAAGACTTGCATCAACCAATCTCTGGACAGGTGATTGAACCATCCTCAAAAGAATCCAATCAGGATAGAGAGAAGTCTCTTTTATTTCATTGCTTGTTGCATCATAGGTAAAACCTGGCAAATGTTTAACAGATATAAGAAAATAAAATTAATATATTGTATGTGATTTATCTCCTACCTCTGGGTACTAGTTTAAGGTCTGCAGGAAACCAAGCATCGAGCAGCATCTCATTAAGACTCCTATCACCTCCATCGTACGTCAGCAGCAAAATCATGGCATGAACAACATTCAAAACCATAAAACATTCCTCACCTGTACTCCATTTAATCAAATAAACGTCTTGAGCATCCTGAGGAAACACATTAGTCTCGTCTCCTCGCGGTATTTTTACCCTGTTCAAATAGCTACAGTACAAAGTGAGCAGAGAAGTTTTAGCTTCTTCATTTAGTTCTCTGTTAGTCATAATGGAATTCATTAAAATTACTCTTTCGACTACCAGCTGGGCCAAGTCAAGAACTAGCTCTGACATTTCTTCTTCAGAGCAAGTCGTGGTGTGTTGGGCTAAGAAACGAAGATAATGGACAATGTTTTCAGGGATCATGTCAATTTGACAGGCTGCTCTGAGGGCGGTTATTACCTGGAAGAAGATAACACAATGATAATAACTGATACAATAAGGGTAGTTATGTTTTATTTATTACCTGCATCCGGATATGTTCAAAATGAGGCACCATTGGCAGCTGCTTAATCAGCCATCCACTCCCTCTTGCCTCTTCTGTGCTAACACAACTCAAAAGCATCTTAAGTCCCTTAACCGACTGCATCCTGGATGACTTTTGAGGAGAAGCAAGTCTTCTCAAGAAATAATCCAACACCTCACAAGCGGTCTGCGGTGAACACTCCGGATTGGTCACCAGTTCTTGTAAGTGATGAAGTAATTGAATGTGTTTATCCTGGTTTCCTCCTGCAGGACTCAACAAGAACTCACACAAGCACTGGACTGGTAATAAAGAAACACTTTCCGAGTTTTCAACCAACTCTGCAAGCCAGGGCATGCTTTGAGAGTTTCCTTGGCGTTGGATGATGTCCATTAGAAAATCTGGTTCTCTGGACCGACAGAATAAGTGACCCAGGTTATGTGTTTTGTTCAAAAGTGCTAAGTTTTCCAAAACGTTTGATGTTGGTTTTCTTGGAGGACCTGTAGGGTCATAACGCATCAATTGGTTTACCAAAAGACTCGTTTCTTCCGTAATTTTCATTTGGGTAGTAGCAGCAGCTAAATGAGTTTCTAATTCTATTATTTCCTGTTTTTCTAAGCGCTCGATCTCGCGTTCCTCAGGAAAGTTTTGGCCGCACAAAGATGTTGGCGGAGGATACACAAATTGGTTTGTGATACACATTTCCATTAAAGTCCTTAAAATAGGATATTGCTCCCAACAAACGACTCCTATAGACATTGGATTGTGAGCTGCTAAAATTAAAACAATACCCCAAGCTTTCCAATAAGGCACCGTCACAGCTAATGTGGGAGGTGAATAGCCGTAAGGCAAAGTTATGTTGTCTGGATAATGATATTGTGTCAGTCTAAACAAGTTGTCAATTATTTCAACTTTATCAAAGTGCATTAAAGGTAAATAATCTTGTGTCAGATCCCCTGAACGCTTAACCATCTGTTCACAGATTTCCAAAGCATCCATTGGAGGCATTGGACAAGATTTCTGTTGCCCAATCTTACACAACCTCAATAAAGTGTTCTGGTGCACACGAACTTCCCCAACCAACTTAAAAAACAAACCGCGTTCAGACTCCGGAGGCCAAGTATCAATTTTAACATAAGGCTCGTAATTATTTTCTAAAAACAACAATTTTCGTATGTGCCCTAAATATTCTGGTGTAGGCGGTTTATACAAACCAGGAACTACTTTCTCCATCCAACGTATTGCCTCAAATTGGATCCTTGACACTTGCAATTGATACGATTGCAAAACATTCAAGTCTTTTTTATCTCCACGAGAGCATGAACTGGAAGCTTCTTTTACTTGTGGTGAGATTCCTAGAAGCATGCAGAGACAGAATAAGTCTGAGATGGATGAGAGTACACGGTCACGAGCGTCGAAGTTTTCTACATTGGTGTTGAAAGCTCTGTCTTTGGAAACAAGAGTGAAACAAAATAGGTATAAGTTAACGTCGTATCTTAAAGCGCGGACGAGTTCTCGCAGGAATAATCTCAAAGCACGCAAACAGTCGTCACGATTTAATAAGTATTCTTTGTAGATTTCTGCTAAAGCAACAGGAGCTTTGTCCGGTTGTTCTTGGAACATCAAAACAACCATAGAGATGTTGTTTGGGTTTCTAGCGTTCGAGAACTCGTTGAATATTGTATGCTTCATTAACAAATTCATAATTTCAACGTTTTCTTTAACAATAGCTTTTAAACAACTTAGATAACTGTTGCACAAAGGTTTTGTTTTAAGTCTAATCTTGACATACTGTATGACAACTTCTATATCCTTCTGTGTCTTTGTTCCAAAATTATAACATAAATAAGCCAGCAACTCCTGAGCTGGCTTCATCAATTTAGCATTGTGCAACCAAACTTCCAACCTGGACACTGCTAATAATCTAATCTCCACCAAACCACAAGCAGCTGACATCAACTTCAATGTGTTCTTGGTAACAAAATCAGTTGGAGACGTTCTTTTATTTATAGAATCTTTGAGCATCTCAACCATGTATGTCTCGATACCATCACAATTCGCGTATCTCTTCATAATCCTTGCCTCGATGTCCTGACTTTGTTTTAAAGGCATCGGTGAGTTCTCGCTTGATTCGTCGTCGGACATTGTTAAAGGTGAGCTTACGCCTGATACAACTAAACCGCTTTTAGCAACCTCTGTTGCTTCATTTTGCAACAAATGTTGAGCTGGTATGATTGTATTAAAAGCTGTAAGCACATTTCCGACAAACAATTTGCAATCGTCGTGATCCACCCAAGCTCTTTCATTTAAAGCATCTTCTACATAGCACTTAACAAAATTAATAGGCCAGTCTTTTTTGTCTTGATATGCTCGAGCTAATAAGTTAGCAGCTAAAACTGGCACTTGCAAGTTTGTCCTGGTTTTGATATTGGTATTTGATTCACGTTTCAACAAACTGCACAAGGCTGATGTAATCGTGCTATTCAGGAATATTTTAGGTCTCAATTTACCTAAATAGCACAACCCGAAGTACAAAACCGAATCAAACTTCCACCTGGGACTTTTCATTAATTTTAAAGCCCCACAAATGGTATTGACAACAGTCTCAGTTTGATTATCATCATGAGCTTGTAGAACTAAAATAACTAATTCAGGAGCTTCAAATTCAGCCGTATGAGCCTCCCAGGGTTCTACAACAGGCGCAGTGACAGTCGAAGCGCTTTGGGGTAAAGGTCTAGTTAGAGCAGTTACTAATTTTGGTTTTTTGGAAGGCACCGCACTAGCGCTCGACGCTGGGGCTTCACGTTTGCTAGCAATTAGGGAAGAGACTTTACTAGAGCTTGAGGAGTCCCATTGGGGTTTGGAAATAGGCATTGACGTATTGCGTTTGTCTGAAATATCTTTGGAAGAGCTTGACGACTGCTTGGAACCCAAAGCAAACAAATCTCCTGCATGGTGGGATAATTTAGATTTACCCGAACGTTGGGAAGGGTTTAATTTACGATCCATTTTTAACAACTGTTTTTATCTGAATTACTTTTATCGATTTAATATTTAATGTGCCGCAAGTTCGCTGTATCATAAATTTCTTTTGAATTTTGATGCTTTTCTATATAATCAAGAGGTAACATCAAATCTTCATCACGATACTCAACATCACATAAGTACAAACCATGAGGTGGCATTGATCTTACACTGGTACACCAGGAATATGGTGAGGGAACTTGAAGCATCGTAATGACATCTTGTTCAGTTATTCTGTGCTGTGCGACTGCTAATAAGACTCCTACCATGCGCCTCACCTAAAGGGAGAAAAATAAACAACATATAAACTAATTGCCTTAAGTTGCTTTTGTTTCCCAATATGTATAATTATAATCATATTTAGGCAATATTCAACTGTTAATTAAAAAATATTTTTTTCTGTAATTGGCGTATTTCAAACGTACTTATACTATTTGTTAAAAATATTTTGTTTAACACATTTGATGTTCTTAAAATACAGTTAATTTTTATTATTAAGTGTGGACGTCAACTATAATCAGTAGCTACCTACAAAGCACCAAAGAATGTACATATGCTTCAGCATAGATTCTAATTGGAATCCCTTAAGCACACAGCGAAATTCGAAGGCCTATAATATTTTAGTATGTTATTTTAGATTACGAAATCTATTTTTATACAAAGTTACACCAAAATCATTAAAAAATCCAACATTTAATTACGAAGAAACGGCCCTGCCGATCTTTAGCAGAAACGCGATTCCCAACCAATGTCTTTTGAACAGTTTTAAAATTGTTTCAAAATTGTGCACTAAAGCGTGGACAACAATTTTTACACTGTTTTGCTAATTATAAAGAAACGGCTCCGCAGATCGGCGCGCAAAACTAATCGATGCTAGTTCTTGTCGAGATACATCAAATGGCTATTACATTTTTAAAATCGGTCCAGTCGGTTTTTGAAAAAAAAACGTCGATAAGTCAAAAATCGGCTCACATACACACACATACTTTTCCAATTTTGGTCTCATTTGATTTAAAAAATAAACTAGTTGTGCATGGCATCGTGCCTTAAGGCAAATTGCTGGAACTTCCCGTAACAAAAACTAAAACTTTTAAAAATCCTGAGCTTGTAGAACAAAAATAACTAATTCAGGAACTTTTAAAAAATCTTAAAATGTTCTTTAAAACATTGAAAAAATAAAATTTTTGCAAACTTTGAAATTTTTGAAAAAAAAAAAGACTTTTTTGAACAATTTGAATTTTTTTTTATAATTTGAATTTTTTTGAAAATTTTGAACTTTTTTAATGATCATTTCTGACCGCGAAATGGCATTGTTTTTTACTTTTTTTACTAGATCTCCGAAAACCCTAGAACTGCCTTGTTGTTCATTCCGTCAATACAAGTAAAATGTTTTTTGAATCATTCAAATCAGACGCTCCGTTCTCTTATAAACTCGATTTCTATGGCTGGACCTGCCTTTGCCAAAAACTAATCAGCACATCTCCCTATCAATAGAAATCAAATAATTTTTTAATCATTCAAATAGGTTGGTCCGTGCGCCCGAAAACGTGGACGAAAAATTGTATCCATACATACATTTTTTATAAGGTATGCCAAAATGTTCAGAAACCTATGAAACGTGAAGATATGCAAAAAATTTCAATT